TGAATGCTTGCTATCAATTCAGCAATGTTTGGTACAGCAGCTGTTAATGGACCTGTATTGGCATTAAGCCTCCTATAATCTATTGTCAATCTCCATTTGCCGTTTGGTTTTCGGACCGGCCATGCTGGAGAGTTGAAGGGGGAGTGAGTGGGAACAACAACCCCTTGTTTTTTCAAATCTTCCAGAACTGGTGTAATTCCCTCCCTTGCTCCTAGAGGCAATGGGTAGGGTTTTACATTTGTCAATTTGGAGGGGGGTAAGGTAGGTGCTGCTTGCAACAACCGCACCTCTGTGCCTGATGTTTCGGTTAATTGCCTGATCTGGGGAACACCAAAAGACCATGAATTTCCCTGGGTGTCCCGCCACTGTCTACCTTTTAAAACATCTATACCTAAAAGATTCATCTGGAAAGATCCTATGGCCACCATAGTGTTGACAGGGTTTTCCTCTCCTGGTAACCAGAGTGTCACCGGAGTCATGGGCACTGACTGTGTTTTTCCCAAGGCATCCAAGACAATTAGATTTCTAGACGGAATTGAAATCCCACATAATTCTGCTTCGGTCCGCGTTAGCGCGGTAATTTGTGCCCCAGTATCAATCAGAAATGTTACTAGTCTTTTCCTCGGTCCTACAGCAACAGTAATCAATAAATCCCCTTTTGAATTGCTGGTGAGTTGTCTTACGAACATCCATCCTCCGCCTCCCCCCTCACCTTCGGGGGGCGGAGGGTCTAGTTTCCCGCCACCTTATCTTCCCTGGTCGGCTCCTCTCCAAGGTCTATCAAGGGTGGAGCACTAGGGGTCGGTTTGAAAGTGACCCTTCGTTCAGACCATTTCTCCACCAGTTGTTCTAACTTCTGGCTCGAAAGACCATCCATCAAGTCTCGAGGAATGCCTTTCTGAAGCCCTAGTTGCCACAGTCCGTGTCGAGTCAGGGGTCTCTCTCTCCCGGGGTTCCGAATTCGGGGTGACACTGAGCCTTGGCTCTTTCCCATGAATGATGGTTGCCTACTAATCTGCTCTGCAGCCCGTACGACTCTGGCTTCTGTTCTTTGGGACGACCCACCAACAGGGCCATATTTTCTCCCAAAGTTAATCAATTCCTGGGCTACCTCTCCCCATGTCCATACTTTCCTCCCTGACTTTTGATGGTCAGGGGTCACAGTCCCCTCCAGAGCAGCTGTCATTCTTTCTGCATTGGGGGTGTTTTGAATCTTCCCTTGCAATTGAATGCCAAAGGGTTTCAGAGAATCAGGGAGTCCTCGTATCAGGGGGGTCATCCTCTCTGGGTCCACAGGCATCATCATTGGTGAACCCTGGTTGGGCTTGAGTTCGCGATCATACATCATCTGCAGACAAGCTGCCTTCTGCACACTTTCGACTAACTGATCCACCGTACCTCTTATGGCAAGGGGATCTCCCCTCTCCAAGGGGTTCAGCCCTCCGGCCCAATATGCGGCTCTCTGAGTCAATGACCATGGGGCTCGGCGGTCGCCGGTAGTTAGAAACACACCCGGACCCCAGTATCCTTCTGCTTCTTTCTCTGACAACATGATTCCATCCCCTCCTGACAAAGACACTCTCCAAACATACTCTGTCTCTGATTCTTTTGCAGTCCTTGCAAAATCCTTTTTCAACTTTGCCAATTCAGTTGCTGTAAATGGGACTTCTTTGGTGATTACCTGAGGACGGTCGTCGCTCTCGTCCTCGTAAACATACTCTGTTTTAACCAGCGGATACATATGAGGGACCTTTTCTACAGTTTCTTTCGCTTTCTGCAAATCTCTTTGGGGATAAATTTGCCTTATACCCTTCTCCAAAAGTTTAACTCTTGCCTCCGCCAATGTATCTGTCTCTGTCAATAATTGCTCTCTCAATTCATCCTTCAATATTGCATTTTGGTTCCTTTCCTCCTCTAACAAATCTTTGGTTTCTCTCAATTGTTCCTGCAGGGTCTGTATTGCAGTCTTCAGGGAGTCTATTACAGTATCAACTTGCTGAGACTTCTGCTCTCTCTCCTCCACCGCAGCTGCCAGACTTGCTCCTAACACTGCACAAATTATGGCTTTTCCTTTTCCTCTCTTAACCTTAGCTTCCTTCTGCAATACCCTTATCCTATCCACCACACTCTGTGGTTGAAACCAGTGGTTTTTCGCCCAATCTTGTCCCTGGATTGAGGGGCGAGATCGGTGTGCCTCCAAAAGATCATACAATTTATCTATTCCTTCAGCCCCTGAGGGCACATTATCACAAGCATCGGCTGCCTCTGAGGCGACCATTTGTTTTCCTTTTCCTGATGCAAAGGGGATCATCGTCCTGGGAGGGACACACGTCAATGTCAGAGTTCCCCTATTCTCTCCCAGGAGGTTAAATCTGGGTGTAGAACAACAAAAAAGGGGAATTTGTCCTGAGAGGGTCACAGCTTAGTATCCACGTTTCCCCTATTCGCTCTCAGGAGACTAAAATTTGAATCTCTCACACAAAGAGCAACCAAAATTGGTTTTCGTCCTGAGAGGACCACACGGTTCGCTCTCAAGAGGCCTCACGTCACTCAAACACAAAGGCAGTATCACAGCCCACAGTTCCCCCGATTTTGCTCTCAGGAGGGCACACTTCAATGTAACACGAAAGGGGGCTCAATTCATCCTGAGAGGTTTACATCCAACACGGCAAGGTAGTACGGCACTCTCGTCTCTAGGGATCCTGTCCGTGACGCCAATTAAAAAGATGTCCCGATCCGATATCGGGGATGTCCCGATTCGATATCAGGGAGGGTTCTTAAACGATCCCAAGAGCGAGATTAAGACACAAACGAGGTCAGATGCCGGGCAACCTTGTAACCTTTATTAAACAAGCGGCTGGTAAGAGCGATAGGACAGGGAGAAAGAGGAAGAGAGAGTCGGAATCCCTAAGCTAGGAAATGGTAGAGATGCGGCAAGATTAATCACCACCACCACGAGCCCGCGATGTCCCGTTGGCTCAGTCTCGGTGCAATCGATGATGGTCCAAGCTCCAAGCTCCGCCGAAGTCCACAAGAGAGATGTTTTGGGAGCACACATGCACTCACACACACAAAGCGCCCGCACACAAGAAACGCGCCACCCCCGCACACAAGAAAATGCACGCAAGAAAACGCACGCACGCCTCAGTACAGAGTATGCAGTCCTTTTATCGCCTTAGTCCCCACGATTTAATATGTGCCGCCCCGTGGACCTCCATGCGCGCATGCCCCGGTGGTCATGGTGGTCTCGCTGGCGAGGGTCGGCCCACGGTGCCTTCAGCCTCTGCACATCTTCCTCGCCTCAATTTCCTCCCGACCACGCAGGTGCAGTCTGGCTGGTACTGCCAGGGATGTTGTTATTTGCGCTTCGGGCAGACGTCGTGGTTTCTTCGGGGGCTACCCGTCTCCTTCAAGGCGTACTCTGTCGCATCAACAGGATGCGGAGGCCAGGAAGTGGTAGTGGTGCAGCAGCGATGTTGAGACAAACAAAGTCCTACACAGTCTCCTACACTCTGTGATAACGTATTTAAGAAGGGACCTGGGAGGAGGAGTGGGAGTTGTGAGTAGGAGTTGTGGCATCTGTGTGAACACCGAGGTCAGTGGAGGAACGGAGGAGGAAAGGGTGGGGGGAAGCGTGCCGGTGCAGAGACCCCCCCCTGTATCCTGTGGTGAGATCGCAGAGCCGCCCCCCCCTGCCACCCAGAAAGGTCTAGGGTGGAGCAGACACCAGCATGCTGTCTCAGGTGACTATACCCAAAGGAGGCCGGGATCCTGTGCAAAGAAGCAGCCCCTGCTACTCTAGGTGCTGGGAGGATTGCAGCATGCGGGGGTGACCCACGCCGGAGCAGCTCAGGAAATGCCACGGCCCGTGGGAGGGACTCACGTCAGAGAAAGTTTGTGGAGGACTGTCTGCTGTGAGAGGGGGAGCACGCTGGAGCAGGGGGAAGAAGTTCCAGCAGCTCCCCCCACCGAAGATGGAAGGAGTGGCAGCACTGACTGCACCCCCCCATTCCCTGCCCCCTGTGGAGGTAGAGATATCGGGAGCAGAGCTGAGCCCAGGAAGAAGGGAGGGGTGGGGGGGAAGGTGGTTTTAAGATGTGGTAATGCTTCCTACTCTCCTACTCTGTCTGCTAAGCGTTGTTGTTAGTGTCTGTATTAAATTTATGTTCTTTTTTCTTCCCCTAACAAGTCTGCCTTTTGCCTGTGACCGAAATGGGTGATTCATCCCTCCCTGTCCTTTATCGAATCCTGAGGCTTTGTTTATTTTCTCCTTCGCAGCCCTGGTGGGAAGGGGGGAGTGAGCAGCTGCGTGGTGCTCAGCTGCCCTCTGAGCTCAAACCACAACACCTGAGATGCCGAGAAGCTGGCTGCCAGCCTGGCAGCACACCCTGCTTAATCACTGCCTGGGGCAGCGATCACTGATCCGTGTCACAGCGGACTTAAACTGAGACCAGCCCAGGTAGAGGCGCACCCACCTCCTCCCAGCGCCCCGGCCCCGCTCAGCACCACCCCGGAGCACGCAGAGATCTTTGTCCGGTGAACAGGAGAGCGTTTCCCACCTCTGCCCACACACACGTACACACTGCACACGCTGAGCAGGCACCGGAGCTGCGGGCGACAGCACCCCGCTGCCCGGCAGCGATGGGAACGCCGGCATCCTCGGGAGAGGGAGCCTGGGAGGACAGACACCCCCCCTCAGACAGGCTGCCACCCGCCCCCATGGCACGTCCCTCGGGGACATGAAAAAATTCTAATACAGATCATCAGAAAATCTCTCTGACGCTCTCCCCACCTACCCTCCGGAGTGACAAAAGTCGTCAAGGGGCTGCTCGGACTTCCCTGCTGCCGGGGTTGATGCCGTAGGCTCCCCCCACCCCTTCCAAGCCCAGCCTGATTCTGCTGTGAGATCCCCCCCCCAGCCCATGCAGGTCCCTCCGTGCCCACCGTCCCCCCCACGCCCCCTTCCCCAGCCCCTCGTGGCACACGGAGCCGCGGCTCACCTCCAGCCAGGCTCACCAGGCACAAGACCCTCAGCACAAACAGGATCTGGAGGGAAACAGCCTTCATGTTCACGTGGTCAGCAGTAGGAAGGGTAGGCAGGGAAGGATTACGGGCTGTATTTCCCGCTCCCAACTTCTTATTGCATCCTCTGGAGCAACGCAGCTGCTGCCGTTCAGTCCAGATTATAAAGACCCGGGATGGGTTTTCAGCTGTTATTCAGCAACCCCCCGCACGTGTCTCAGGGTGACGACAGGAGGAGGAGGGAAGAGCAGGACAGGGGAGGGAATGCTCCTGAGCTAGATGGCTCCTGGAATTCCCCAGCTACACTTACGTCATACTTTTTTTAAAGCAGGCAGAGCAGCTCCAGTCTCCTCGGCAAATTTTTCAGACAGGGACTTTCAGGAGGCAGCTGCTCCAATCCTCCTCTCCCACCGATGTGTCTCACGGCCAGACAGCCTGCGCCAAGGCACCCCTAACCTTGGGCTTATGAAGCTCTCCCCCCTCCAACCCGCAGCTCCCCGATGCACGTTAAGCTCATTATTCACCCCGGACACAAAAGCAGCTATCCCCTTCCTTTTTGGCAGCTATCTTATACCAGCAGTGTTGGTCACTGTGCTAAAAGAGGCTGATCAGGAATACAAATTCACTGGCTCACGCCAGGCTGCCTCTTGGGAGCATCACCAAAGTGACGGATGTGCAGGGACCCAGCAGCTTCTTAGTTCCCTGGGCACGCTGTCTGCAGCGTGTGCCTGTTACCACAGCCCTGGCTTTCGGGGTAGGTCGGGGTCTCAGCCGTCGGGGTCTCGCCCATGCTGAGAGCAGGGGTACGAGGCCCCCTGATCTGCAAAGCACCCGGGCTGGCTGGGGGGCTTCCCGGCACCAGCTCGAAGCCAGCTCTGAAACGGACATACCAACACAGCAAACATATCCTGCACCTTTACTTTCTTTTTCATGTCAGGTCCCAGCAGAATACATAACAATTTTCTCCTGTCAACTCCCTCAGCTGAAAGAGAAAGATAAGATCCAGACTGAGTCAGTGTGGCTGCCCCTGAAAGCTTTTTTCCCAGAGTTTTTCTAGGGCTGGTGGAAACTTGGATTCTCTGTGGAAATTCCAACGGTTTCAGTTAGGATTTTATTCCTAAAGTGTGAAAACCCCTAGCTTTCCACATGATGTATTTTTAAAACATTCAGTGGAACTCCCAGAATGTAACTTCAGCCTTTGTTCATATTGTAAGAGAAAATAAAGCCAATTTCAAGGAAATAAAATAAAGGAAGAATTAAGACCTTGAAAGACCTTCTTAAGACCTGTTTGATCCGGACAGAACAGAACACGCTGCATCTGTCAGGATGTTTTCTGGCCCCTTCCCCAAATGGTGTTTTCTCAGGCTGAGCAAGTCCCTTAGAAGAAACTTTTATTCCAGGAACTGTCATTGCCCGAGGCCGCCGGGCGCCTTGGCTGCTGGAAGCGATGGCACAGCCCACAGGTGCTCGCATCTCCCCTCAAGAAACAGGTTCTGCTTCTCCTGCAAAGCCTTTACTGCCAGTGACCGATTAAAATGAGGAAGGGCTCTGACATGCACATGAAGTGGGATGGCGAGTGCTTTGTTTGCCAAAGGCATGACTTGCCACAGGTGTCGTTTTAAGGCACAAACAGCACTTTGGCAGAGCAAAGCAGCTGCTTTTCCTGCCCGGACTAGGCTGGTTGGTGTTTTAACTGGTAGGTGACATCTCCAAGCCACCCTGGGAGACCTCCCGTTGCTCCCAGCCAGCTCGGCAGTGGGATTTGGAGGTGGCATCTGCATGAGGAGGTCCCGCAGCAGGAGGGTGGGGGGCAGCTGCAGCCCCAGGGTGGCTCCGTGGGACGTGGCAAACCTTCAAGTGCCAGCAGAGGCTCGGGTCTAAGCCCTGCAGTTCCCGCTGAGAGCGGGACGGGGAGGCACAGCAATCGGCTCCAGTGGGAACCAGCAGCAAAAACGAGCGGTGACAAACCTGGGTGGCAGCTGGCAGAAAACTGGCATCATCATTCCCAACCCACTGCCTACACCACCCTCCCTGCCCCATGGCACATCCGCCCCTCCAGCACACCCGTGCCAGCCGCTTACTGAACTTCTTTTAGGTCTTGCAGCATTGCAAAAACCCAAATCAGAGGACCTGCTGTAACCCAGGAGATACTTCTCCTGAAACTAGTGATAAATCACAGGCATTGTATTGATCTGACAGTGAAAGATCTCAGGACTTCTCTGGACTCATCTTGGCTTCAGCTGATTTTGGCTTCTTCAGTTACAACAAAAATTGCCTAGGCAATTGCCGTTGTCTTAATTTGATTTAGTTTTGCTTTAGTTTCTAGGAATAGAAAGCAGTTATTCAGCATGGGTCTGGGACTGTAGATGAAATTGTGAAGTGCATGAGGGCAGAGAGAGGAGGGCACTGGCAACCCCAGCCCATAAAACACAAACCACAGCGCCCAAGCAATGGAGCGTGCAACCCTGCGAGTCCAGAGCAACCAGCTTTTGAGGAAACAAAGAGCAGAAAAACTGAGTAACTGGGAACCAGGGAACGCAGACTGTGCTAAATAAATAGATGAAAATGAAACCAAGCAGGCCAAGAGTGGGGAGGAAGAAAGCCCACCATGAACACCATATCCTTCCAGTGAAGATCACAGCCTGGGGCAGCTCATCACAGCCCTCCCCCATTCTTCCACAGGAGGGCTGGAAGGAGGATTCTTGCGGTTACCCTTAGCACCCAAAGGCTCTCTGAAACAGTGCTACAGCACCAAAGAAAAGCAGTAAATACTAGGGAGAGGGTTGATTTTTCCCCCCCACATAACATTAACTGTAGTTTGAATGAGGAAGGCTGGAGACTGGGCTCTCTGCCTCCCGTTGCTGCTCTGCTCTAAGGACAGTTTCACATCAGGATGGATGTCCTGTTACTTAAACGCTGGCTCTGCTGTGGAGAAAGGGAGAACAAGGCCTGGGGTGGACTGGATGTTGGTGACAGCATAAGGCATCCTCAGAAGCCTGATCTGATGCCATACCCCTAACCAAAGGTTGCTCACTGGTAACCATTAACCAGGAGCTTGGTTTATTGCTCCAAACCACAGATACCACAGGCCAAAGGGCCAGATCCCATCTTCCCCACCAGAGACCTGAAAGCAGCTCCAGCGTTTCACACCCACGACAGCTTTGGCAGGGCTGTTCACGGGCAGGTGCTCGAGCTCTGCACAGGGTTAAGGTCCTCAGAGATGGAAAGAACATATGACTAATGCTGAGGGAATTGGTCTTGAAGGCAAGAAGGCAACTTGCCCCTACAAAGGCAATATGCAAAACAATACACAAAGAGAACAAGGGCTGCAACCTAAACAAACAGGAAATCACCCCAGAACATGGCCCACCTCCTTCAGGGTATTTCCATGCTGGAAACTTACGTTCCTTGGTTATTCTTGGATCCTCATGAAAGAAGGACTATGCTCTGTTACAGAAGCTGTACCCTCCTGGAAATCAGGTGGTGACTGAAGAAAAAGGAAAAGTCAGAGAGACTTAGGGGGCTGTATGGAGCCTGGAGGAAATTGATGCCAGAGCAGATCAGACGGGAATTCTGTTGATTTCCACTGCACGGTCTGTTCAGGAGCTCCCAAGACCTCAGGAGTTGTTTTTCCTGGAGCAGGGAAGCCCAGCACCTCTAATATCAGGTATTAACAGCACCCTTTGCTGTCCATGATGTTGTCCACGATCTCTGTCCCAGAGGCTTGCTGGAAAGAGGCGGCAGGAACACTTAGCTTTTGGGAAGGCCCAGACTCTCCCGATGCTGCAAAGGGAACAGGCTGACCCAGGACTCCAACTCTGGGCATATGATGAGATTCTCTTTCCCCTGCTAACGCTCCCAGCTCCGAGCTGCCTTGTGGCAGCCCATCCTTTGCACTACACCCACCTCTGCTCAGTGGGGTTGGCAGCTCAGCCACTGCTCTGACACAATATCCTTTTACTGCAGCCCAAGAGCATTAGACTAAAGGGAGCTAAAGCACCGCCACCACGGCAGAGCTTCCACACTCACCAGAACTGGGCTCCTCCAGTTTCCCTTGAGGAGTACACATGCAGGTCTCTGAGCCAGGATGGGGGGGGGACTGGTGAGGCCCGGGTGTGCAGCCGGTCCCCGATGGGTAAGACTGGATTTCCTGACTTCAAGCTGAAAAAACGCCAATGGTTTATCCAATGATGTGGCACGGCCCCTAGCAGCCCAGAACTGACCCAACAACCTCCTCTCTCCTGGCCCAGGCAACCAGTGCCAGACTCAGGAGATGGTTCCTTAGAGCCAAAGGTGGCCTCTCATTTTGGAGACGGCCTCAGCCTATGCTTAATGTCGAGCTCTTGAGCCATTAGTGTAATAAGGGAGAGAATTAAATGACAGGGGAACCAGAGAATCTGTCTGGTACTGCACGACTTGTAACTTTCTCACATTAAAGAAAAAGGCAGGAAATGAAGAGCAGATGTCTGGGGCTGTCTGCAGCCATCATCTCCACAGGGGATGGAACAACTTCTATTTGGGAAGTAATAACCAGTGCTTGTGTTTTTAAGAAACTGCTTTACGTAGCAAATGGTTTCAAAAATAGCAGAGACCGTTACACAGGCTTTCGTTTCTCCGAATACAATGGCTTCCTCCTTCCTTGTGAATAAGAACAAATTTGGGCTCCAGCACACAGTGCAAAATGCTGATGCTCTATTTTTCCACAGTGAGGCAGCCCACAGCTACCAGTCAGCGTCCCAAGCCAGCCGGGCTGCAGGTTGTGGCTCTTTCCCCTGGCAGCATCACACCTGAGCTGCAAGCTGGCGGCTGATCCTAGTGGGACACTGCACGGAAAGGTGCATGCCTGCAGTGGGAATCGGTGTCCCTCCTCAGCAGCTGGAGCAGCCAGAACTGAGGACAACTCATTCTGCAACTGTCCCATGGAGACTGCCGCGAGCTGCGAGGGTTGCTGCAGTGAACATGATTTAAGTTGATTGAAAGTATTGCATGAAAAGAAACAAACACGTAACTCTTTACTCCGCAACACAGTTAAGCTCTTCGTAAACAGAGAAGAGTCACTTGTCCCCTGCAAGAGCAACGCAGCCATGGGGTGCAAGCTCTTCCCTAGGACAGGGGATGGGGAAGGCTATTCTGGGGAGATGTGGCTGGATGGCACGGATGAAATCA